GAAAAAGAATATCAGGTGGAGAGTCTGGAGCGTGCAGAAGAACGGAAAGATGTCATTGACGTCATCAAAGACATGATTGAAAATTACAATCAAATATTCCAGGTGAGGACTCTATCAGATTTCTGAACACCTGCACTTAATGTATTTAATTTTTGTAATTGTTTGTTATTTCTGTTTGAATTCTGATGATTGGTTTGGGTTTTTATAGGTTCGACCGGAAGTGCATGATGAAGTGATTAAATTGTTGGTGGAAACAGACCCTGAAACTGCCGACGATTTGCTCAAGGCTATGTCAAATGACATGGGGTATGTAGGATTTAAATTAGTTTTGAATTTTATAGATATCTCATTATAATGAAATACCTTAAACTGCATGGAGACAACAACATACTATAGTACTCAATATCAATATAACTCAATGTACTCAAAGTATTTTCTTTCTTTTACAGAATTGAACCTGATCCTGACACTACTTCAAGTAGCATTTTTGAGGACAGCGATACAGCCTCACTGCCACGTTCACCCTGTAGTGAAGGGGACTTTAATGCATCTGCAACAAGAGATAGTGCTCTACATCCGCCTCTAAGGAATACTCATAGTGAGGATATAATGACTCCTAAAACGAGGCGGAGATTCTTTTTTTCTAGTAGTGATAGTGACAAAAGTAAAAATAAAACTGACAATAACAATACGGAGAAGGAACGTCCCAAGTTCCGGTTACGCATGGACCGGAGTCCAAGTCCCGGAAATAGAACGAAAATGAGGCCACCGAAGGTGAAAATCTCCTCAGACAGTTCAAGTCCAGAAATTTCAGTCCGTCGTTCTCGCTCAGAATACGTAGATAGACCTCGATCCGAAAACTATTCGAACAGTCTTGCCATTCCAAAACCAAACTACGTCAGACAGAATAGTGCCACAAGTTTTGGTAGTTATGCTAATACCTCATCTAGTGACAGTGTGCCCGACCCCGAGGTATCAGGACAATATTTACTGCCAACGCCTGTATCCACAGATAACTCGCCTTTGTCTAAGAGAATATCCCCGTCCCAGCGCAGGCCGTTAGGGGTGCGGCGTAATGCGTACTCCGGTTGGGAACGTGAGCGGTGGCGGCAATGGGAAATGTTAGCGGCGGAGGGAGGGGACGAGGGGTTTGAGAAAGAGACTCTTGTATGATCCATACTGAACTATGCAATTTATAAACGTTTAGTATGCGTGATAAGTGGAAATATTTATACATTTTGCATTAAACGGGTAAATATCTATGTTCAAATCAGTGCTCTGCAATATATTTGGAAATTATTTCCTGTGCAATATGCATTTGGATTGATGCAATACGATTAGTTTTTGTATTTTATGTTTCTCATTTTGTTCACCCCATGCATTTAGATGTCTCTTCATTGTCTTCCATAATACATTGTTGAAGTTTGAGATTTTTGTCTATGCAAATAAATAGATAAAACTGTTAAGGAAATTTGAACGTGTTCGGATAAAATGTCACATACAAATATGGTTCCTAAATACCAGGAAATGATATATTGTCTTTTTGCAGAAGAGAGATATCAGATGTTCTTTATATTCATTGTTATATTGTTTATGCTTAGTACTTGTTTATAAAATCACAAAATAAATTATTTTACATACGGAAAAAAATGTTCACTATTTTATTGGGACTCTTCAATTTCACACACGTCAACAAAACTAGTATATTTTGTCGAAACAAGGCGGGTAAATATTGAGTAAAAGTACACTCATTTATATGTTAATGGAAAGGAAATCAATTAACTTTCAATCCGATTTTGTCGTAAAATCAGCGTGAAATTATATAGTCCTTTGATGTGGTGGTTACTTCATGCCGGAATATTGAATATTTTGTTTCGGTTGAGTGTTACCTATACAAAACTCTGATGTAGGTTGTACAACTGTGTATCATTACTCCGTTAGATCCCGTTACACTAGAGCTACATACCAAAAACATCTCCGGGGTATTTTCATATCTGTACATCACAACTATTTACAGGAGAGAAATATTTTATAGAGGAAGGTCACAGTGACACAGTTATAAATACTTGTGCATAATTTGTACAAACATTACCTAGAAAAGGTGTAAGAATGTTTTTTTTTTTATTAAGGGTACTAGTATTTGAATTCGTGTACGAATATCAAAACAATTTTAACAAATCAACCCAGATTAAGTAAATGTTTCCACATTATTAAATTAAAGAGGCCATATTTTTGTGTAACAATTTTTAAATACAATTCAAATAAGAATACCCACATTTAAAGAAAGTCATTTTCTTACAATCATAATCTTTAAATATTTGAATGTTTGGTTTTGCACGGTGTTTCTGAACGTCCCTTCGAGAATATTGACATCACCAGTGTCTTGTGGAAGATTGTATTTACATTTGTAGTGCGATTATAATACGCAACGATTCAATTCTAGTAGTTTTTGGCCTGGGGGGGGGGGGGTAAATGTAAAAGACACGTTTCTTTTTTTTTTTTTTACTTTTCCTAGAATGTTAAATATTACACTATTCAGCAAGAAGAAAGAGTAACCGACGGTGAACATACTATAAAGTGCAATTAGTGCACCCACGGGTTTACCAAATGATGTGACATTAATACATTACTTATGTTTTATAACGTGTTCAAAACTGCCTATACGATATATTTTTTTAAAATGTCAAAAATTGTCAGCATGTACATTATGTCATTCAAACCAAGGTAAAAACAAAACTATTTATTATCACAACGAACAACAATGATGGTGCTTGGTACGCGAGTTATCTAATAATTACGACTCTAGAAATACGACGTTTGTCAATATTTTTAGTTAAAGGAATGATAATGGAAAATGGCATCTCCAAAAGTAACAGTTTACATTTGTACATATAGTGACTTAAGCCGCACCTTAAGAAAATTTTTGACAGGTCTTTTCATAAACCATTTACACACTGTACAATAAATATTTATAATTCTATTGTTTATGCAATGTACCCCTAATGATTTGAAATACATGTAGTAGCATACTGGTAATTATTTTTCAATATCAATTAAAGCATTCTTTAAAATATAATTTTGAATCTGTTGGAAATTCGATGGGAACTTTAAATAATTTTGACAGATGGAATGACTTCAGCTTCTCCATCGCGTAGTTATGAGCATCACCTGCATATATGGTGTTTGATCTCCCAAATGATTCGACATTGTTTGCAAACACAACCTTTAGTTTGGATCGTATTTTGTCATAGTAACTATGTAGACAGTCATTGTTTTATATTAACTACTACAAATTACTCTACCTATCTGATCAATGCCTAAGGCCCGCGGCAGGTTACCGATCGACAGGGGATGGTTATTCCTTCTAGGCACCTGATCCCATTCCCAGTGTTTCCAAGGGTCTACATTTTCCCTTGTTCAGATTTGTTTTCTTTACTAAATTTATTAACTTGATCATCATTTGTTATATTTAACATTTACAAGATGTATGTTATGACTAGATACTTTATTTGAATGTATTTCCAGTTTTCTACTGTAATTTTTAGTATACTAAGTACTTAACTTTTCAACATATTTACTGGGAGTAAATGCTTGGTATTTTATGTTGAAAATACAATAGATTATCTTATCATTTACATTCCTATTCAAATTAATTTTTCTCAAAGATTCCAAACTTTTCCTTTCGTGAAATCAGGACCCTTTAATCTTTCAGTTATATTATATACTGTAGTCTTAATTGAAGTCTCTTTTCAATTTGTTGAAACCTATAACAAAACAATGGATGGTGAAATAGTAGATAGGAGAGTACAAATATTCTTTGATCTTCATCCTAAATATACATTATTCAGGATCACTAAACATTTTCGTCAAAACAAAACGTGTGGATTGAGCAAATTATAGAGGAGGGTGCGATTAACTCCTGATAAACAGTCCTGGACAGAGAAAAAAGGACAGTCTTGAAAAAAAGTCAGAGTTTGCATTCTACCACACAATTATACATTTTTTTTTAAGTTTTAAAGCAATCATTATCGTAGAATTCTTTGATTTATTCTTCTTTTTAAATCCTGCAAAATACTTATTTTATTTTATAATATTATCTTAGATGTAGCTTTCCTAGTTCTTATAAAAAGTTTTCAATGGTTTTAAATCAATGGTTACGTCTGAACCGGAGTAAGGCTTCTGTACAATAATACGCAAGTTCAATCAAAGAGAGATAACTCTTATTCATAGCCATTCTTCAAAACATCTGTATGTTTAACGTCCTTTCGAAAATATCACACTTACCAGTGGGGATAATTGTAGAACTGCAGTTAGGCCGAGGACTGCAAATTTAGACCTGTGCTCGGCACTTGGGGACTTTCAGCAGTAATGGATATTTTTCGTGCCAGCACCTATTGCGACAAGGGATTTCGTTTTACACTGCCCCATCCGTAGGACCGGTCCCCATGTCCCGTAGCGACCGTTTGTGTATAAATTTGACTATATGTTCAAACAGAACCTTCAAAGACATTTAAAATGTATATATTTAGGTAAAAGTTGGGATCTCTATCGTGGAAACACACTCAAAGTTCAAACTTTTTCCCAACAGTCCTATTCCATTTTTCTGCTTCAAACAAGTGATCTGATATCACCTTAACTTGACAAGTATAATAAGACCAAGTTGGAATTAACCATAGGTAAATCTTCACCTAATAGCTCATTAATTCAACAGATGTAGAAATGATGCACATCCATTTCAGTCCATCTATGAAAACCCCACCTCCCCTTTTTTCTACCTCATCAAATTTCATACACTGTGGCAAACCAAGAGAACGTTCTCTCTTTGTTCCACATTTGATTACTCTAAAGCAGGCATCTTTCACCTGGATATCTACTAATTCTTTACTTCAACCACACTGAACCCTCTTTACCTGAAGATGCAATGTTGAAAGGGTCAACAGGCATATACAAAGATGTTCTGCTCATGAATGCTAATAAAAAGAACAGAAAAATGTGGCATCTAAAAATTGTGATATTTATTTACAATTCAATAACAGAGAAGTGAAAAAATATCCATAAAATAGGTCTTTTTCATTGAAACAACTGGTAACAAACAGATAATAAATCCAAAATAGAAGTGCTGGTTCAACACATATCTCATTATATTGTTAGCAAATGAACAGCTCATTTCACTGTCAAATAACAATACAGATTAATAATGTTACTTCTACATAGGGTTTAAGTTAACCTGACAAAAAATAAAGCAATGCCTACCAATGTTAAAATAAAGAATGCTGGGTTAAACTGAACAGGGTTCTAGAGGTACAATAGTTGTAAAGGAACTAAGGTACACAGTGAACAAGTGGTCATTTTCCACAAATCTGAACAAAATCATCCTATAATTCATCACCCACAATGGCAAGAGAAAAATTTGGACTACTGCAATTGCACCTGCATGTAAAACATTTAAATACCTGCAAATAAATCATTGCAAAACAGGTGTAAGACACCAATGATACACTATGCATTAATTAAATAAGCAAATTTATAAGCATAAATTAGAAACAGACAGAAACATTAAGATAGTATAAAATAGTGAATATACATGTAATTTAATTTCAGTATGAATAAATCTGCATCACAGAAAAACATGATGAGATTCAATTAATGAATTGCAGTAGTACATCTACAAAAATTAGCTAATACATTTTCCCTGGAACTATGCTATAGACTATGATAAAATGAGTGATATTGGTCACCCTGTGGGAAAAGGAAAGTGAAACTAGAGGACAATTAACAATTAAACCCTGGAGTGGGACTAAGGAATGTAGGAAAACACAGGGACAAATTCATCTTAATAAAAGGATTTTCTGTTGGGGAAAGTCAAAGTGGAAAAATCTGTTACTCAGGGATGAAGATAAAGCAAAGCTATAATCAGCATAAAAAGCATGTGAAACATGGTAGGAATGTTGCAAATCTCCATTTCTTTGAAATAACACAAAACAAAAACTTATGAACACAAATGATTGTCTACACTACTACAAAGCCAAGAGTTGTATAGAAACTGTCTCCATTTAACAGCATAATAATGGAATATTTTACAAATAAATTGTGTTCTGCGACACTATGCTTGCCCTGACTGGCGTGCCAACAGAACTCATTATCTGACGATTTTGGCACAAAAGTCATCTGTCTCACTGACTGAATGAAGCATTTTTATCCAAACACAATTATATCCCAACTTTACCAAGAATAAAGCTTTTTTAATACATAGCCTAAGTTAATGTCTATTGTCTAATAACAACATAGTATGTCAAATTACTTGTGCATTTGTGAGTCTAATACAGTATGTGACATATACAATGACAAATTGACTTACAATCACATGTGACTTGAAGTCAGAGAAGAAAAATAAATAAAAGCTCACACCTGGAAGTTCTCTGTGAAGTGGTATGCTGAACTATATTTAGTTTCACTGACATTTAAAAATATACTGTAAATGATGAACGGATAAGACTCCACTGAAAAAGAGGGGCTGAAAACTGGAGGTGTCCTTCAGCTTGGCATATCAATACACAACTATGACCAGAATCAGTTGAAAAATAATATCAGTGGCAGTAAAAATATTTTTTTTTCTATACAAAGGAGTTTTCCATTAGTACTTCCATATTTTTTTTTCTATGTTTGAAGATAAATATCTTGTATTGCATTTTTAAGTATATCTAAGTTTAAGATACAGTAAACTTTGCACAAACACTAAAAATTAAATATATCTAAATTGAGAAAAAAATTTTTTAGGTACCTATCTAGTGATTTTTTCATTTCCTTATCATTTGTTGACATAATTCTGCTGAATAATATATATGTTTGAAAAATTGAGCATTACCTTGGTAGTACCAATCAGATGAAGTATATCAAATTATCAATAAAATTAATCAAAAAATAAATTTGCATAAATATTGTTATTACATGCTGAACTTTATACATATTCTCTAATATATTACTGGTCATGACTTCCTTCAAGATACTTAATAGATGAACATCAAATGTTTAACATCAGTAATGACAACTGAAACTGGAATAAAACAATTCCTACATAGATTTACAAAAACTAAGAAATCTTGTTTGTACAATAAAATTATAAATGGCCTTAACGAAATGAAAACAAAGTTCAACCATGATAAAGTATGGATTATAAACCATATGAAATACAGGGAAAAAAAGAACAAAAATAAGGCCTCAATGCTTAAGAACCATTTAATCCATAAATGTCTTTATCAATTGCAAAAACTGTATGAAAAAAGCACATGAAAAGCACAGTGAAATAGATTTTAGAAATCTGTTTTAATGTTAAAAGAAATAAAGTGGCACAACACTGTTAGGATTATCTCCCTTCTTTCACATGACCTTCGATTTGACCCTATTCCTTGCAATCATGGGGAAAATATATGACACAACATTTTATGTATGTGTTAATATTTTTTTACCACCGACCTTTCACAGAAACCCATTTATTTGTAGACCTAGATAAACATATCACATCACAGCTTGCCCTTCTATGCCTTTTTCTTCTTGAACAGTTTGAGAAACTGATTTCGTTTTTTCTTGTTTTCTTGTCTCTCCTTGTCCTCGCCTTTGCCACCGTCTACACTAATAGATGTCAACATTAGTTTCTTTATGTTGAGTTCTGACTGGGACTTGGGCATTAGCACGGGACTGGAGTTTTGGGTGATTAGTTTTGTGCTGGGGGGTAGGGAGAAGTTCCCCCCACTGTCCCTCTCGTGGGTGTCTGACCTCTGCCGACTTACGACCCCTCCTCCGTTCATTATGGGAGGGTGGCTGTGTCTGGTCCCTTTGGAGTCCGAGTCGGAATCCTCTGTACGTGTGAGAGTGAGGTCTGTAGATCTGTCCATCTCAGACGATGATGGCGACTCTGATGAACTACAAGAAAGATTTTTTTTGTCAGTCGAACATCTATTTTAGAGCAAATAAAATTAGTAAATTGGTTCAATGAACATCAAACATTTAAAAAATGCTCTTTTTTAAATTTTAAATACCATTTCTAAAAATTTTATTTCTATGGTGAGAGGACAATAACACAGCCAAAAGTAAATAAACACACATTTAATATTAAAATTTGAATTACAATAATAAAGCTCAAAATATTACCCCCCAACTAACCACCACAATGTCCATTTTCAGTTTTTTGTAAATGATTGGTCTATTTTTCAGTCCCATTAGTTTTTGGTTTAATCTAACTCCTACCTCTCATCCAGGCTAAAGAGAGGTCTGTCGGAATCAGAAATGACACTGGTCGTCTCTGATAGTGGAGATACAGGACTCTCTGCTATCCTGTTGTTTACATGCCCTGGTCTGCCCAGAGAGTTAGTGCTGCCAGAAAATCCTACCCGAGCCAGCGAGGAACTGCTCCCCACCAGGGCTTTAGGTCGTTGTCGAACCTGCATGTTGTACCCTGAAATCACACAAATATAAACCAGTGAGAAATGATGCAAGATTGTATACGATTTTACCTTATTAAAGGGCTTAACTTACTTATGAAGAATGTACCTGTAGTAAATAATAACATTCAACATGTAAATTTTAGGCCATGACATTTTACTAAAATTTAATTACATGTATATCTACAGGTGTATATTCAACCCCACTTCAAATTCACCAAAACTGTCTTTCCATTAAAACAATTTGTCCCCATCCTTTTACCTTCATTGTGACCATTACCTATACTCTAAATCATTGATATTATATCCTTAACTTGGGCAAGAAACTAAAAAATTCAAAATGTGTTCTTAATTGAGTCTGTATTGTCATAGTGCAGGAGAAAAAGAGATGGAAAGGCAGTACCCAGATTACCCTGCAAAAATAGCTGCATAGGCAAAAAAAATTGAAAACTACACTAAAAGCAACAATAAGTATGGTAGCCAACAAAGCCATAAAATTCCAGAAACAAAAAATTATTTTTAAACCACAAGTACAGTCCAACCTTGATATCTCAAACTTCATTAAAGTTTGAGATACTGTAAACCAACTTTTATCTACGTGTGAGAAATTTTAGCAAGAGCCTCAACATCGCGAATATTTCTCGCTGTGAACCGATCCTTAAAATCATAAGAAAGGCTTGATTGTGAAAATTAAAGGTGGCAAACTAGTTTACCCCCAGAAAACACTGAAGTAAAGTCATTGCAAATCAAAGTTGGTTTACAGCGTATAAGGATTCAAGTTAAAGAAAGTAAAAGACATAAAAGAAATTGGTTGGGACTACCAACTTACTTTAAGACATCACTGAGATTTTAGATACCCGGTATGGGTGTTCAAGATAATGAAGTTCAACCATATATGTACCCGCGTTGCATAATATTTGGAATTTCTTGTCTTTGAAATATTATGCCGATTAAAAATCATGAATCAGAAATTAGTATATAAATCTATATATTAATATGCAATATATCACCATACACTATAGATATGGCCCGACGTTTTCACAAAAATTAATATAATTTTTAAGTCAGTCTGAAGAAAAGAAGTAAAAAGAGAAAGATTTTGTTTTCACAAATATCCCAATAATCTCAGATTCACAAGACGTTGTTCAAGTTCAAGTTCAGTTTATTCTCCCAAACCAAAATATTGGTACATGGGGTACAGTAAAACATATATACATTTTAAACAAACTGGTTGTGAACATACATGTATATATAGATAGTCTCGTTGTAGTTATTCAACACAGTATACACTGAATAGTAATGAATACATTTTATGAAAATTTCACAATTCTAAGTCTTCATTTCAAAACAATTTATTTAACAATTTTCAATCACATTTATAAAATTATTGTACCTATCTTATCAGAAAATGCAATCTGATGACTGATAAATGATTCTTCATTGAACAAATCTTTGTACAGTGTACTGAAAAGTTTGTATTTCAAAAGGAAATCAAATTTAGATACTGGGCAGTGTTCCCAACCAATGTTTCAATTTAATCTTCAATAAATTATCAATTTACAGACCATGATTACCAGTGTACGAAATTCCCGTCCGCCCGCACGCCCGAGACGTACTAAATTGGGAGCGGACGTATAAACCTTACTATGCATCAGCCCGCTTGGACGCACTAATTTTACCCCATCCCCTCCATTTCTGCAGATAAATGTTTTGAGAAGGTAAAGACTAAATATATAAACGTTCATACAAGGCATTATTCCCTGGGACAGCAAAATATAAACAATAACTGATCAATAAATCTGTAAACATATGAATCACACAAACATCGTCTTTTAATCTGAATTTCCTCTGTTTTCACGCATAAAACGATATTTTCAACTGTCCACTGGTATATTGTGCTTTTTTTTACTAAAAATATCAGAAAGAAATTAAACACATTCAGTATGTTTATCTATAAGAATTAATTAGTATAAATATTTGTATAATGATAATGCCGTTTATATAAGACAAAGCTAGTGTACTAAATTATTCTACACTGTTCAATTGCTTACAATATATACTTTCATTTATAAGGATAACATGCACTGCGTTTATTCAATGTTTTTTCAAACTAATTTTGTTTTTATTAATTAAAAAAACACTTACTTGATTTTAATTTACATCACAATATTTTAACCCTTTTAAAATTCTAATTATGAATTAATTATAATAAGTGTTAAAATTGCTCTTAAGTACTGAAATTAGAAATTTGTATTTTTTTCTTTTCAATTAAAATCAAACAAACTCATTATATCTAAAATGTACATGTGAATATACCTATAAACATTTATATTATTAAATATTATCATGACCATACATATGCATCTATGATAATCTTAAAATCAATATGTTTCAAATGCAATTAACAATTAGAAGAAAAAAAACAAGCATTTCAGATTAGCAATTATCATTTTTCCTATAACTTTATTATGAAATCAACAATGACTGCATGAATGAATAAAATTTTAATCTTAGTAATTACTGTAAACATGAAAATGAAGTGGATGTGAAAAAATGTACAAGTCTGAGTGTGCATACCCTAATATTGAACTTTATTATGCGGGCTCGCTAATTTTCAGCAGGGCTGACAAACTTTTTGAGTAGTCAGCCCTGCTGGTCCACCTGATTTTTTTCCGAGTTTCGTACACTGTGATTACTAGTCAAAATTCCTAAAGACACAGAACAAAAAGATACATCTTATACATATCATAAATATAGGATCTCCCATGATTTGTAGTTGCATAGATATGATTTCATACATGTGATTCTTCCGGCGGGAGGCAAAATCTCCCGATTTTTAACCCCCCTTCCGTCCCTCCCGATTAATTTTTAAATCTTCCGTGCTTAAAATAATTCTTCAAATTAAATATATTTTGCATTACTTTTTATCATGTTTCTTATAATTGCTTAGAATGACAATACCTTGAGATAACAACGGCAGTGCAATAAATTTTCACAGCAGTAGGCTTCGTAGTAATCAACATGAGGTCGTATAATTCGGTTGTAAAAATTAGTGATATGTCAACTTGATAAATGATCATCGATGTTTTATTGCTGAATTGCTGAATGCAGAACATTGTAATTAGTTGCTAAAATACCCAATTGCCATCTTCTAATGCTGCGGTGGTCATTAAAAGATACATGCAGTTATAATACGGGTTACACTTTAGTTAAAAATAGATCAAAATACAGGGTGTTGCTAAAAATTATACCTGACTCTACTTTCACTTTTTTGTATTTTTAGAGAAATTAATTTCACTTTATATTCTATTTAAAAAAATACTGACATAAAATATGTTACATAAGACCTATATACATATATGTTTTACTTCAATTACTGCTAAAAAATATACTTCACTCTACTTTGTTGTATTTTTAGAGAAGTTAATTTTATCTATTCATATTCTATTTAAAAACAAATTACTGACATAAAATATGTTACATAAGATCTATGCATATTTTACTTCACTTACTGGTTGATGTACCAAATCAAAAATAAAATTTTATTCAATGTTTTAATGATGATGTTAACTCTTAATTAATTTCAATGAATTAATTTAATTTTGATTTAATTTCACTTCTGATCATTTGACTAAAAATTTAAACATATTTTTTTAAAGCTAACCTTTATGAAATAAAAATTATTTTAAGTAGTAAAGAGGGAGATAGCATTTTCTAGGGAGTTGGATGGTCTTTCGCGATTTGAAAAAATGTCGATAAAAAATCTCCAGCTTTGAGACCCAAACTCCAGCTGAAAAATTTCAAATCTCCAGTTGTGATTGTTCAGTTCTGTCACATGTATGTGATTTTTATCCCCAAGCCTTGGCGAGGGGATAAAAACACACAAGGAGTTGGATAAAAGTCATATCTATCTACAAATCATGTGAGATTCTTTTTATCCCATGTTAATACTTCACAATTAATGCTTTACAATGTTTTATATTAGGACTCGATGATCCACTTTATCTTACTTCATCACACAAACTATAAACCATTGTAATGTCACAATTTTAAAGGGTAAACATAGGATGAATGCTAATGCTGATCAAAAATGCTCATCCAAAATTTCAACTTGGCTAGATTTAAATATTTAACATCAAACACAGCCAATCCTCAAACTTTATAATGCAATGGTGGTTGCCAAGGGCAGTAACTCTTTTTCAACCACTTGTATGGTAGACATGTGTACTGGTTACTAGTACTGTCCAATGCTAATAAAATTGTCGCCATTAAAATCATTACATTCAAATACCATTGCCCTTAGAAATGAAGGAAAACAAAGGAAGCTTTTTTGTCTTCTTAAAATAAACTCCAGTCTGATACATGCAGACATTCTTGCATTCATCAACAAATCCATTCAACAAGTAAATTAGCTTACGAATCAAAATTATTTAGATCTTTGATAGATTTAATTTTAAGAAATGAAGATAAATATTTGTTGCTCTATCATGTTAAAATTTGTTCACAAGAAATAATAGCTAATGTTAGTATGCATGTGAGCATATGAGCCATTATGGGAGTATTCATTAGTAAATTCAAGATATCATTCTTAAAACATACAGGAATATGTCGTTCAAGAGATGTGTTAGATCAATCCAGTTCAAAGTTTAAAGAAAAAAAACAGTGGGAGAAAACAGCTGGACAAAGAACTCTCAAGTGCAGATATGTAGATCTACTCTTGTGCAACAATGAATGGAACCAAACTACCAAAATTTCACTGCCCACATGTATAGGGTTATGACCTCAACAACAAACTTCTGGTTCCAAAGCTTGACTTTACTAAGACCTTGTTAAAATGATTCAATAAACATTCATATTGTCTGCTTTGTTTTTCATGTTAAAATGACACATGGATATTTTACAGATAAACACTTGTACATCAAAATGTTTCTCCATCCTAGTTTTTCACTATTAAATAGAAAGAGAAAATACAAACAAAAGCATGTTTAAAGTACATACTGGTATTTACATTCTTCAAGTGGACTTGAATTTGAAATTTGGTTTTTACACATAAAGCAAAGCAAAACTTGCAAAAAAAAGAGATATATACCTACTGGGTACATACATGTACTACACTAAATAAGTGTTCAGAAGCAATTTATTTATCTCAGAGTAAGGCATAATTCAATCTTAAAATACAGCAGTTTGTACATGTATACCTGGAATAACACAAATTAAAATTCATACAACATAAATACCAAAAAATAAGCAGCAACAAATTTTAATTTCTGCAATTAATGTAATGCCCCATCTCCAATTTCTATGCCTAGCTATCGCAAATATTTTGACAAAAAGGGTGATCTGGAATAAAAATACAAATATTAACAGTGCAAGAAGCTTTTACAGGCAGGAAGAGTGGGGGTAGACAAGGCATACATATAACCACATGCTGCTACATCCACGTGTATTCACAGTGAGAAAAATCCTACCTGTGTACAGGGATGGTCGCGTATAACCATTTGACATCGTAGACGAATAATACAAGGCTGCCAGGGAAGAAAAACAGACCCAAGATTGACATTTAAAGATTTACTTAGAAAAAATCATTTATTTTACCTGACAGCTGTACCATTTTCTATATTTCTCTTTAAAATTTTCAAAGTATAAGATCATTTTATGCATTAATTCATTGGATGAATAGAAGAAGGGTGTTTTGGATTATCTGGATTTTGGAGAGTAATTTTCAAGCAAAGCTGCTGTGCTTTATTTGGAAATGAATTTAGAGAAGACATTAACTCTTTTCCCCTTAGACCTTTCCCTCCTTTACCCCTTAATGACGACTTTTGACGCCTAGCCCCCAACCCTTAATGACGACTTTTGACGCATGTGTATTTCATCGTTGATTTGACCTGAAATTACCGCTTGTATACTAATTATTTGAGCACAGGTGGCCACCTGCAGGTTAACAATAGATGATTGCATCATACTACAGTCAGAAATCACGTGATTTACCTGTGTAAACAAACAATGGAATCTTGGAAAGTCCCACCAAAATTCAAAATGGCGGGCGGTTACATACGATGTTTTTTGAGCAAATAACTCAGTCAATAGGCAATATTTTCTCATCCAGTAAAGCATTACATGAAATTCAAGCTATAAACTACCTATTTCTTGAAAAGTTTGAAAATTTTAATGATTTATATGTGTTTTATACTCCAACATAACTTACGAAAAAATGAAGTTCGGGACCGCGCAGTGCCGATTTTGTTACCTGTTTCTCACAAATTCATAACATACCTTCCATTTTACACATATTTATAAATGTTAGGGTGTAGGCAATAATTATTTTAATAAAATTTGACCATTTAAGTGTCCAAAAACGTCCATAAATCCAGTTTTAGCACACGAGTCTAAAAAATTGTCGGCGAGATTGACATTGAAGTAGCAATTGGAATTATTGATTTCTGAGGAATTAAACTTATAAAATTGATAATAAATGATAATTAAAGCATCAAATATATCATTACACATAATGTTTATTTTTTATACAGACAGTTTTGGCTTGTTAAAGCCGTTTTACATGTTGAAAATATCTATTTTGTGATTTACACCTGCTTTCACCTGAATTATTTATTTACAGATAACTCCAATTAAAATTTTGCAAAAAGATATTAAAACTTCAATTTATTACAAATTTAATGATATATAATACATAGCATAAATAAATTATTTTGACCCCTATTAGTTGAGTTTTAAACAGCACTCCAATTCAACTAAAACGCTCTAAGGGGCAGCCAGGCAAACACTCTAGGGATATGGCCAGTGCGTCAAATCGTGGCATTAAGGGGTAAAGAGTTAAAAGGCATTTAAAAGGGGAGTTAATTCTTGCAATCACTCAAATGCATTAGAACATTAATTAAATGTAGTGCAACTATTATAATTATGATTTGTGTTAATGCCTTAAGCAACATAATCTTGGATGAACTTTGGGGGTGGGGGCACTGGTTTAAATTGAGAGGATTCCAAGCCACAAAAGTGAAGTTGCAAATGTGTTACAGATCAAAGTACCATGGTATAGAAGTTTAAACTATATTTATTAAGGATCACCAAGTAAAAAAATTCTGGTTTGAGAAGTGACAACTTTTCATAAAATGAAAGTCTGAACAATATTTTGAAGTGCAATCAATTTCAAATTATCTTAATTTTCAAACTGAACTCCAGAAATTGTATTGCATGATTTTTCCTCCAATGAGCCACAACCTGATTATCACAAGCACAGTGATGATGTGTCCAGGAAAAACAAATTAATCTTAATTTAGGGATTAACACTGCACCCCAGACCAAAAAACAAACAATATATATCACCTGCTGACTTGGACCGAGGTGAGCCTAAAATATAAACGGTGATCTTTTTTATACTTAGCAGTGACAAAAACATATTTACTCTAAAGCGGTCTACAAGAACTGAGAAACACAGAGGGTTGGGTTGTTAATGCTATCCAGTTTGTTATAGACAAATTAGTACATGTAGGCAGCACTCAGATGGGTGATAAAATATATCTGTCTTTAGATGTGATTAGGCTTTGATGACATTGAAGTTTTGCATTTAATAGTGTACAAAATGAAAATTTAGGAGGGTTTTAGGTTTTTAATTATTAGGCAATAGTTATTAGTTTAACATTACAAAGGGACAGGGAATTATACAATAATAACATTTAGAGAAATGGTAAGGTTTAAATTAAGTCAAGTTAACATATTAAGCATCTTCGGCAATAGAAATGTACCTGGATACCACAGTTTATGACATATGCATGAATGCCAGGCCGATTAACATGGCGTGAGTATTTCACATAGCTTGCATTGTGTCATTACATTGATATTGCAGCAAGACCGTTCTAGACTACCTGCCTCTGTTACCATAACCATGCAGTTCTGTTAACAGTTCCAGAAATCAGCTGCCCTATATAGACTTATCTATCTGTACTAGCCACAGAGAATGCTTACCATACTGTGCGTCTTCATCCAGCTCTGCTGCATCCACATCTAAGCTGCCTAGAGCTGAGGAAAAGTTATTTCCACCTACAATAAAACAAATACATTATTGTGTATTCTCTAAACTGCCTACAGCAAAGGAAAAGCTATTTCCACCAACAATCAAACAATGTCTTCTTGTTTATTATTTATGTAAATCTATATGACTATAAATAGGTTCTAACTGAATTTTAATGCTATTTTATTTATACTGACCTTCATCATAATTATTTTATACAAATTTTGTATTGAATCAATACAATACAAATTTCAAACACAAATCATAATTTTTATCAGTATTATTTTTTAGAAGGCAAACAAGACTTTAAAAACTTTACAAATTTATTTTCTTTTACTGTAAAATCACCGTTTCGTTCATCCATATTTAAAACTTTTTTATGACTTCACCTGTGGTAGTATCTAGAAATAATTTCTGTATAAGATGCTCTTTCCCCGGGTTATTGATGATGGGAAAGCCACATAACATTTCTATATTATGCCACCTCTGGGATTTCTCTGTTAAACATTTTCTAACTTCATCCAGGGCCTGCCTAAAAAGACATGAAAACTCCAAATCATACTTTATTCAGTCTAAACCTACCTGTAAATATAATAATAAAACTTCTTTGTCTGAGTTTCTCATCATTTCCTTTACAGAACAAATGCAACATCATCCGTTCAATTTTTTCTGATCACTCTAAACAATGGCATATAATGTACTTTCATGTACAAATCAGTCGTTATCTAGTTTGTTTAAAGTTCACTTGTGAAATTCCTTGCATAAACAATATGCAAAGACACTCTAAGCATTTATGGATACAAGTAATAATATACATTGTTCTTTTGTGTCCTGAATGCATAAACATCTTAAATCCCTATATACTATATAGAAGGTCCAGATATGTACCTTTTTCAACTATAGAGTCAGTATCATCTAAATTTAGTTTGTGATCAAACACACAGACAAAAATATTACTCTATTCTTTAATTTTTAATCTTTAATGGAGTATAACAATACCTGGCACTCTCTATCTTATTATCAAACTGGTCAATGGAGTTTGTTGGAGCCATCCTAAGAGGTCCAAATAATGCCCCTCTTTTCTTCTGAATTCTTCTGCACTGTAATATATAAAGAGTAAATCTCAAAAATAAAGTCTTTGCAAGTGCTTTAAACAGTCTGCTGCTTCAGTTTAATTTCTATTCAATTGAGTTAAATATCTAGACACAAAATCCTATTCTTATTGAGTACAAGTACTAACTGAATAACTTACAATTCAAAGCATTTTTTTATTTTTATCGGAACTATATCAATTCCATTTTTTTCCCTACAGAAACAGTAAAACAGTGACAGCGCTGCATATTTCCTCCTCTCCATATTGTGTAAATATTCCTTTTTAACTAACCTCCTCTCTGGCCTGCTCCAGCTGTTTCTCAGCCTCTCTCTTGTGGATGTTGAAGTACATCTGTTCCGTTTCATACGTCAGTTGAAGCCATTCTTGGAGTTCTTGTGGAACAGAGTGAACCTTCTTCCCCAGTTCCTTTTCTGCCCCCCTGAGAGCTGCTCTCACCTTAACAAAAAATTTGCCAAAAATTTCAAACATTTTTAAAACAGGAAGCCATATGTAATGAAAGAGGCACCTTCTGCAAGTTTAAGATGATCATATGTACTGACAGTATAAAACATTCCTTGTACTAGAGCAGGACACCCTTGAGCCACACTACCCAACTGAGTTGCCCAGTCTCTTGTTCTTTGAGATGAAAAAAAAATCCCCTCAAGTGAAGATTCCTACATGATTTTTCCCCCCTCTTTACTTGCATGAAAAACTGAACCCCAAAGAAAGACATTTCTTACATATTCTCAGTCCACTTTAGAATTCCCGTTTTAGTTATTCTTTGATCTTACCTGTTCTAACTCCCTTTCTGCCAGAGTAAGAGCTGAATTCTCCACCTGTTTTCCTGCCTCCCTTTCCTTTCTTAGTTTTTCTGCCTCTCTCTTAAATATACAGATTACAAAATATGCATTCATGTATATGAATCATTGTCAAATGAACAATTACTGTAAATGTATAACATTTGGCAGTGTATCCTATTTAGCGCCGTAAGGGGAAAGCAGCCAAATCACATATATCACTATAAGGTCTTGTACGTACATGTTCATGTACAGTACATTTAGTAACAAACTAATTTTTACCTTACTTACTTACCTAATTTTTACCTTGGCCAGATCAATTTCTGGTATTTTTTACCTTGGCCAGATCAATTTCTGGTATTTTTTTTTACCTGGGCCAGATCAATTTCTGGTAATTTTTTTTACCTTGACTAGATCAATATCTGTTTTTTTTTACCTTGGGCAGATCAATTTCTGGTAATTTTTTTTACCTTGGCTAGATCAATTTCTGGTATTTTTTACCTTGGCAAGATCAATTTCTGGTATTTTTTTTACCTTGGCCAGATCAATTTCCGTTTTTTTTTTTTACCTTGGCCAGATCAATTTCTGGTATTTTTTTTACCTTGGCCAGATCAATTTCTGGTAATTTTTTTTTTTACCTTGGCCATATCGATTTCGTCCTGGTATCTCATCTCCAGGGTTTTTTTCTCCTGATAAGCTGACTTCTGTTTCTCTTCTGCTGTATTCAGTCTGAAAAAAGACAGTAATTTGTCAGCTGATCTATATTTAAAGACAATCACTACATTGAAATTAGACAACCATTTTTGTAAAGCATGGTCTGATAAATTAAAATGATCAACTTTGCTTAACTTTGCTGTAAACATTAATTCATTAGAAATGAGATTTCTATAATCATAATTTACTATTTTACCAATTTCTCTTTGTCGAAATTTTCACGAGCTCACTGTCTCCCATAATTACGCGAAAATAAAATTCTTGTGAATAAAAAATGATTTACAGTATATGTTATAAATCTAAAATGGATAAAGGAAATGAAAAATAAATGTTCTAATATTTTTATGCTTATGACCTACTTTTTCTGAAGTTGGTTCAAAGAGTTTTCAGCCTTCTGTAAATTTTCCATCTCCTCCATGACCTTCTTCATCTGGACTTTGGAGGATTTGTGGAATGTGTAGGCAATGCCACACCCCAGGAGGGCAGTTATAAGGGAGGTCATTAGAATCAGGTCCTTCACAAAATTATGTTTCTCTGTAAGATGCCAAAAGGTTCCTTATTATCAAAGCAAATATACAGAACAATGTATGAAGAACGCAACCCAACAAAATTCTTACATTTTTTTTTTTAAATTTAACACATTTTATTCATTCAAGAAAAAATTTCATAGAATCCTATATAAAAGAAAACTAATGTTTCATACACTCAAGTAAGTAGCAAATTAAGTGTCAAGGGTAGGGCAGTGGTTAGTTTTGTCACTTATCACTCCTGCTACCCAAGTTCAAACCCTGTGATTGACATGTTGTATGGGAGAAGATAGAGTGGTTATCCACTCAGAAATTCCAGTCTGACCCCCCCCCCCCCCTTGCATTGATGTATATATGTATATAACATATGTTTGAACCAAATAGAATGTTTATTTATTTACTTTAATGTACATTGTACTTATTACTTTAAAAAAAAAAAGGATTAATTCTGTAGGTTAACCTTTAGGGGGACCAAACAAGATGAGGTCCATGGCCTTCACGGAGATCTTCTGTCGGTGAATGGCATTCTTTATTTTTAGGACATTCTTTGTGAAATTGTTATTCTGTATGGCAATGCTGAAAAATATATAAGAATTTAAGCATTCTTGAAGGTTTTAGCACTGGAAGTAAGATCATTACAAAAATATGTGTCAATTGTCCCTGAGTGGATTTTTTCTTTAAACACAAGGTTTTCTTCACAACAAACTTCCTGCTTTTAAATCAGAAAAAAAAATTATTACATGTACCAGTAATGCTTTGTGGAAAATAGTTATGTACCAAACAAACTTTCAATTTCCTTAAACCAGTGGGAAAATTTTATATCCTATGAACTGTTGAATTATCTATCCTTTCATCAAGCACTCTAAACTAGATTAATAAAGCCTCAACTTCAAACAGAACTCTGACAAAATGACCATTTTTTTATGTTCACAGATTTTTATGAAATGCTTCAGTTTGAAAAATTCTTCTACCCTTCAAACTAATCCAAAAATCGAAGAGGGAAATAAAGAACATTTGCTTCTTATACAAGAGGCCTAAGGGCCTTGAATCGCTCTTCTGATAAATTGTACAATCTATCTCTTCTATTTAAGGCCTCTAACCCTAAGTATCCTAGACTCAAGTTGCATCAACTGACAAAATTTGATGATTCTTAGCCAATTCGGACTGAAGATATTTTTGATAATAAAGCTATAAAAAACCATAAGTATGTCACCGTGACCTAAGATTGAAGTTTTCTGAGGACTCATGATACATTAATAGACAAAGATTGAAGATCCTAAGCCAATAAGTATTTGAGATATTTAAAAGTAAGTCACCATGACCTACTTTTTTGACTACATTTTTTGAAAACCCAAGATACATCAACTGACAAAGTTTGATGATTATAAGCCAATAAGTACCTGAGATATTCAAAAGTAGGGCACCCTGACCTACTTTTTGGTTGACATTCTCTGAAAACCAAAGATGCCTCAACTGACAAAGTTTAACAATTCTAGGTCAACCAGTACTTGAGATATTAAAATATATAGCCATAAAATGTCAAAAGTGGGTCAAGGTAATGTAATTTTTGGATTGCGATCCCCGAAAACTCAATATGCATCAACTGACAAAGTTTGATGAATCTAAGCCAATATGTACCTGATGTACATAAATATAGCCATAAAATGCCAAAAATAGGTCACCATGACCTACTTTTTTGTCTACATCCTTGGAAAACCCAAAATGCATCTAGTGGCAAAGTTTGATTATTCTAAGCCAATAAGTACTCAAGTTACTTAAATATAGCAATATTCTGTCAAAAGTAGGTCTCAGCAACTTAATTTTTGTAGAAGTTTTTTGAAAACCCAAGATACATCAACAAACAAAGTTTGATGATTATAAGCCAATAAGTACCTGAGATATTCAAAAGTAGGTCACCATGACCTACTTTTTGGTCGGCATTCTCTAAAAACTCAAGATGCATCAACAAACAAAGTTTGATGATTCTAAACCAGTTAGTACCGTAGATAATTAAATAAAGCCATAAAATGTCAAAAATTAGGTCACTGTGACCTACTTCTTGGTTGACATTCTCTAAAAACCCAAAATGCATCAACTGATAAAGTTTGATGATTGTAAGCCAATAAGTAATGTAGATACTTAAATAAAGCCATAAAATGTCAAAAGTAGGTCACCATGACCTACTTTTTGGTCGTCATTCTCCGAAAACTTAAGACGCATCAACTCACAATGTTTGATGATTCTAAGTCAATAAATACCTAAGATACTTAAATAAAGCCATAAAATGTCGAAAGTAGGTCACAGTGACCTACTTTTTGGACATCATTCTCCGAAAACCCAAGATGCATCAACTTACATACTTTGATGATTCTAAGCCAATAAGTACTGTAGATACTTAAATAAAGCCATAAAATGTCAAAAGTAGGTCACCATGACCTACTTTTTGGTTGTTCTTCTCTGAAAACCAAAGATGCATCAACTCACAAAGTTTGATGATTCTAAGCCAATAAATAACTAAGATATTAGGACTGGGACGATACAACTTTTTCTGAGCAACGATAAGACCGCAGAACATTAACTGGCAAAATTGGAAATATACAGCTTACGTCATTTCTATCTGTTACAATCAAAACATTCAGTGATAGACAACGAAATGGGCGGGTACAATTCGACGCGGATGTTTGGAAAACATCGGATTGAAATTGCAGATCAAAATTCATTTTCAATCCACCTGAGCTGTTTTCAACGCAAAGAGTGAATGTATGATCCAACCAGAAGTCTCTGTCGAGACTGAAGCTCTACTGGTTTGTACTTATAGCAAAGGAAGAGAAAAGTACTTAAGCAGTTGGAAATTGAAACTTTTCAACAGCAATAAATAGAATAATGATCCTTGATTAAGTCTCTTTATGTTCTTAGTGTAGTCTACTTGCATGCCACATTATATTATAACCAGACTAAAACTGTTATTTGGAGTAGCATTTTGAGAGTATTTAACAGAAATTTCTATTTTTAGTAACCACGGCAACACCGTTCATCGAAATCAAAAACCGATATACAGAATTATGTATCTTAGTATAGCCTACTTGTGTGCCAAGTTATATTGAAATCAGACCAAAACTGTAGGAGGAGTAGCATTTTGAAAGAATTTCACAGAAATTTCTATTTTTAGTAACCACGGCAACACCATTCATCGAAATCAAAAACCGATACACAGAATTATGTATCTTAGTGTAGTCTACTTGTGTGCCAAGTTATATTGAAATCAGACCAAAACTGTAGGAGGAGTAGCATTTTGAAAGAATTTCACAGAAATTTCTATTTTTAGTAACCACGGCAACACCGTTCATCTAAATCAAAAACCGATACACAGAATTATGTATCTTAGTGTAGTCTACTTGTGTGCCAAGTTATATTGAAATCAGGCCAAAACTGTAGGAGGAGTAGCATTTTGAAAGAATTTCACAGAAATTTCTATTTTTAGTAACCACGGCAACACCGTTCATCGAAATCAAAAACCGATACACAGAATTATGTATCTTAGTGTAGTCTACTTGTGTGCCAAGTTATATTGAAATCAGACCAAAACTGTAGGAGGAGTAGCATTTTGAAAAATTGTTTACAGACAGACAGACAGACGGACAGCTAGACAGACAGACAGACAGACAGACGGATGGACGACGGACGCATTACTATCGCATAAGCTCTTCTGGTCTCTGACCAGTAGAGCTAAAAATCAACTATATTTCAACTCCCAAATACATATTGTTTGAAGTTCACATAATATGAGTTTTAGCTTATAATTTTAAGAACGCGAAAGATAATAAAAGTCAAAGATTATTTTTCTGAAGATATTTGATTTTAGAAGGGGGGGGGGGGGGGGGGGGTAAAAATTGTCGAGTCAGGTCATGGCTTAACATGACAATATATTTTATTTCTAGGATTACAAGAGTGCATGAGTTTTATACTTATTCTCACTGAAAACTGTTGGACAAATTTATTTAAAAATCGTTCAACCCCAGTCCCCCCCCCCCCCACCACCACCACCATAAAGATATACATATATTTACCAAACAAAAATGAAATATTTGTCCCTTAAATATATATTCATTTAATAGCCATTCTCTGTAACCACTTAAACTTTGTTGCCACGCATGGTCACCAATTTTGATGAAACTTCACCCATGCTTAGTACTTGACATCAGAAACAAATATCAAACAAAATTTCGTTGCTATGTGTCTCGGTTGCTATGGCAACAGCCAGAAAAGTTTGAAAAATCGAGATTTTCAGCTACTTTAAATCTTGACCGTGGCTTAATAAAAACTAGAAAAAGCATACAAACCATTCTCACAAAAACATGACACCTAGATGTCACTTATACTGTAAAGAAACTGTTTTGAATATATCTCTAAGTAAGTGGTAACCAAGGGTACATTTGGAATACATTTAAAATGCTGAAATATGCTGCAAAACACTCCGTATTCACTAATGGTAGGTGTTACATGCTCAAATTCAATCAACGACTTAAGAAAAACAATGAAAATGTTTGACCTTAAGTATATAAGTATGAGCAATATTATTCTATAAATAACTTTTATGGTTGCCATGGTAACACAGTGTAACCATGCAAAACCAGTAACTAAGATTGGGTTAATGCTACTGTCTTGAGGAAAAACATGAAAATTCAAGATTGGCAAATATGCATCCTTAGGACCTTGTAATACCAAAACCATAAGAAAAATTGGGTATAAATGCTACTTTGCAGTGTTACCATGGAAACAAAGTACCAGTGCTTAAAAGTGAATTATTTTTCGCTGCATTAAGAATTAAATTGCCATTTAATCAAGAAACAAATTAAAGGACTCAGCTTGAAAAGTACTTATATGTTAGAACTGAAGTTGAATATCATATATTGATAAAATTGGATGAATAAAACAACACTGTTGCTATGGTTACCAAGAAGGGAAAATGTTCGATTTTGTGAACTTTATATCAATATTAAACCCTGTGTGCCAACTTCTTGCATCCACTTAGAGATTGGATGACAGTCAAAATTAAAAGTCAAGTTAGCTGTTTATAAATATCAATCATAAAAGTTTTGGGAATCTACATTTAAGGGTACGTATCCAAGGAAAGAAAATATTTTTCAGGTTTTTAAGCATATTTTTTCTACTTATTTCCATAGCAACGCTCTATTTAAAGAATCTAATCTGAATTTTTTTCAAATGGGAAAACTTGGAGCACACCAACATCTTATAAAATTGATCATTAGTTATGAGGAAATGTGCTTTTTTTTTAAAGATAGGATCAGATTTAAACATACAGAGTGTTACTTTGAAGGCTCCCTGTGGTATAAAAACCTTGGCAACCATTGCCAACCAAAATGAAATATCATATTTTGTTCTTGGTATATGTTTCAAGGCTTTTTTTCTATTATTTGGTCAGATTTCATCCTATAATTGCTTTTTATTTTTACGTGTATGACTTTATAATATTCAATGAATATTTTTTTAACTTTTGAATACTTTGTTACCATAGTAACGTATGTAATAGTTGATTTACCAAACATGTTCATCAT